TCAGTAAAAGACAGAATTAAAGGCAGTGAATAAAGGAAGGACTATTGGCTTCATTAATGCTTGCCTGGATACAAAATACCTATTTCAAAGCCAGAAAAATTATGTCCTTAACTCATATGAAACTGCATTGTGCTGGATAAGGCCAATGACCTCGGCATCCATTCCTACCACCTTATTTAAGCCTATGGAGGATGGAAAGTTAAAAACTGTATTGCCCAGATCCTCTTAAAGTTCTGCTTCCAGATGTGAATGAGTTTCCAGCACAGGGAAGCACTTATGTAAGATCTGAAAGATAGAAACTTGGTGGTCATTCAGCTTTGGATATTTCTGTTGCAAGCGTCACTGTAAGGATGTGGAGGTTTTCTAATGTAATTTTTCAATGTCCAGTCTCTAGCTTTGTATCAGTTACAGTAAACGATTTCTGATCTCTTGATTATAGCAACAGCATAACCTACTTGAACTCAACATATCTTGATCTGGATTGGATAAGAAAGAAAGAACATCTCTCTTGGTCTACTGATACTTATGGTGAGATAAGAATCATTATAAGAGGTTCAGCCTATAGATCTCTAACCCTTCCAACAAGTAAGTTTGGGTAACAATGTTAAGTACACTGGTAATACAGGATATTCTGGTCTGAAGCATCTCTCATACACACACAACTCTTGAAGAAACTTGACAAATATTTAACTAGACGCACCAAAAAGAAAAAAGAGAGAAAACACAAAAGACCAGTTAGCAATGAAAGATGGGACACTACTACTAACACTACAAAAAATTAAAAGAACAATAAGAGAATGTTGGAACAACTTTATTGCAACAAATTAGAAAAATTAAATATACAAATTCCCAGAGAGGAAGTCACTACCAAAACTGAGTTAAAAAAGAAAGAGAAAATCTGAATGAATTTTTAAGAAGAAATTAAATTATGTATTTAGAATATTCTCATGAAGTCCAAGTCCAGATGGTTTCACTGATAAATTCCATCAAATATTTAAAGAAGAGGGCCACTTGGGTCACTCAGTTTGTTAAATGCTGCCTTTGGCTCAGGTCATGGTCCCAGGGTCCTGGGATCAAGCCCCTCTTTGGGCTCCCTGCTCAGTGGGGAGTGTGCTTCTCCTCTCCCTCTGCCCCTTCTCCTGCTCATGCTCTCTCTCTTGCTCACTCTCTCGCTCAAATAAATAAATAAATAAATAAAATCTTTTTTAAAAAATTTAAAGATGGAAGTAATACCAACCCTTTACAAACTCATTCAGTAAATAAATACTTCCCAACTCATTCTATAAGGCCAATAGTACTTTGCTATCAAAGCCAGAAAACATCATAAGAAAGTTACAAATACCACAAAAATACTTAAAACATTAGAACACTCAATTCTGCAACATATTAAGAAGGATTTTATACCATGGCTAAGAGAGATTTTTCCCAGGAATGGAAGGTTTGTTTAGCATTCAAAACCACAACAATAATGAACTATCCCCTATTATTATAATAATGGACATAAAACTACAAGATTATCTCAACAGACATAGAAAAAGCATTGACAAAATCTAACACTCATTCATAATAAATACTCTTAGCAAACTAGGGATAGGAAATTTACTCAACCTGATAAAGATATCAACAAAAATCTCAGAGCTAATATCACACTTAACTGTGAAGAACTGAATGTTTTCTCCATGAGGTATGGAAGTTCCTTCTGCCACTTCCATTCAACATTACACCTGGGCTTTTAGCTCATACAAGTAAGCAAGAAGACATTAGCATAGTAAAGGAAGAAATTAAATTATTTTAATTCACAGATACCTTGATCCTAAATATAGAAATCCCACGAAATCCACAATAAAACTAAGAGGAAAAAATACACAAGACCAGCAAGATTGTAGGATGCAAGATCAATATACAAGTTAATTCTATTTCTGAACTTTAGTAACAATTCAAAAATAAGATTAAGAAAATTCCATTCACAATACATCTCAAAGTAATAAAATACTGTATGTCCACTGGAATTTAAATAAAAACTTGGAAAAAAAATTTCTAAATTAAAAAAAGTAATAAAATACTCAGGAATAAATTAAACAAGACAAGTTCAAGACTTATGTACACTAGGAATTATAAAATAATGATTAGAATTATTTTTAAAAAAGATCAAATTTATGATTATAGATATAAAAATACCAGCAATAACACCTATTTATCAAAAGAATTCTGCATTATGTGCAAAAAAGGTTTATTCTACAAACACAAATATAATTCAATATCAGAAAATGTATATACATAATTCATACAACAAATTAAATCCCATGACTGTATCAACTGTGGCTATACAGGCACTTGATGAAATACTGAAGTTGCGCCTAAGAAACAATAAAATGAAATCATCTGAACTTAATAAAGAGTATTTTCCAAAAGTAGATATCCTGGGAGCGCCGGGGTAGCTCAGTCAGCTGAGCATCTGACTCTTAGTTTTAGCTCAGGTCATGATCTCAAGCTGGTAATCATGAGATTGAGCCTTGGTCAATCCTTACTCAACGTGGAGAGGACTCTCTCCCTCACACCTCCCCTCACCAGCGCAGGCGCTCTTTCTCACGCTAATAAATCAATCTTAAAAAAGAAAAAAAAAAAAAGATACCCTACAAAGTGAAAGAATGAAGCCCATTCAACTACATGAAACAGATGAGGAAAGTAACTATCACCAGTATCATAGAAACACTTCATTGTAAGAAGAGAAGGCATTAAACCACTGGAAAAGAAGAAAAACAAACATCATTTTGGCCACTATCAAGTATAAATAGATAACTCAAAGACTCCACAAAAAAACCACTAGATTTAATAAGAAACATTTATAAAGAGCCTAGATATAATACATATACCTAAATATTAAAAATTTTTATCTACTTTTAGCAAACAGTACTTAAAATAAGGAATAGAAAAAATAGAACCAAAACTTAGACAGAGAAAAAAATTAACCAGAAAGATCTCATACCTAAATGAAGTAAACTATGAAATCTCATTGTAAGAGAAAAATAATCCCAACAAACGGAAAACTACCCCATATAACTATGTGGGAAGATGTACTATCTTAATAATGCCAGTGGTTCCAAAATTAACAAATAAATAAAATGTAATTCAGAGAAGAATCCCAAAAGAATTTTTCTAGAATTGGAAAAAGATAAATCTTAAAGCATACATGGAAAAGCAAATGCAAAAATTAAGTAAGAAATACATGAAAATTTAAAACAGTAAGGGCAAACAGCCTGCCAGAGAGCAAAGCATTTTTTTAAAGTAGGTTTCCCTAAGGCACCTGGCTGGCTCAGTCGGAAGACCTTGGAACTCTTTATCTCAGGGTTGTGAGTTTGAGCCCCAGATTGGGTACAGAGACCACTTAAGTAAATAAACTTTAAAATTAAAATAAAATAAACTGGATTAAAAAATTTAAAAATACATAAATAAAGTAGGTTTCCCTTTGCCAGGAACAAAAAATTCTGAAGATGTTCATATCTGGTATTTGTACCTATTAAATACTGACAATAACTTCAATTCATACACGATGGCCAATGGTGAGTGTGTTTATAAAATAGAACATAACAATAAAACTCAATAAGCTATTTTAATTAAATGCATGATAAAGTATTAATAATGAAAATAACTAAACAATTACTAAATACCATATTAGAAAAGCTTTGTATATAACATTTTCCTTTCATAATCTTCATAAAGCACCAAAGGATTATCTCTATTTTTTTTTTTAAGATTTTATTTATTTATTTGACAGGCAGAGATCACAAGTAGGCAGAGAGGCAGGCAGAGAGAGGAAGGGAAGCAGGCTCCCCGCTGTGCAGAGAGCCCGATGTGGGGCTCGATCCCAGGACCCTGGGATCATGACCTGAGCCAAAGGCAGCGGCTTAACCCACTGAGCCACCCAGGCGCCCCGGATTATCTCTATTTTAAGGATAAGAAACTTGGGGAGATAAATTAATCAGCTTGCCTAGTCAGTGACAGAAAAGAGATTTAATAAGGAAATAATAGGTTCAAATGGAAAAGAATACCATTTGATTAGGAAAAACAAAATTCTGTATGCTAACAGAAAGAGAATTTTACCTACAGATACACGTTAGACCGTACCTTACTGAAACTATGAAATTATGTCAGTGTGTAAGTGAATACATAAATTGAAATAAGGAAAGGTTATAATAACAAATAAGATTTAAATTATGCTTCTCCTTTTTTAAGGGCGTTTCTGTGTTCATTATATGGTGCCAAACTTATCTTCAAAAAACTGAGATTATCAATATAAAAAGAATCAAAGAGATTTCCTAATGCAGAAGTTAAATTACAAGTGTTTACTATTTATTGTTCTAGTTAACAATTAGGGGGAGTGGACAGAAGACAAAGGACTAGGGCAACTATATGATTTATCTTCCAACCCATAACACTTCTGAGAATGAAAGAAGGCACTAATAGTAATGATAACAATGTAAGTATAAATCATGACTGGCAAAGGCAGACATTTGGTCACCCTAGTTAAGAAAATTATATTAACAAGAAATTCTTTGCTATAGTAATAGCAAACATGTTTTTGAGAACTTCCTATGTTACCATGCATTCCATGATGCAAGATTTTACCTGTCTCATTCACTGTCCCTATATATATAAGTTATACATACATATATGTATAAATTAAATTTTTAAAGGAATGAATAGATTTCCTTTAATCAAAAAAATTGATTCCTTTGTCTGTATAATATAGCTTAATCATTTAAATGTCATTACGACCTAAGTGTGTGAATAAGCATTAGTTCACGCATGCAAAGACTTGGAGGAACAACAAAAATAATCAACAAACCATCTCTATGTATGAAAGATGGTGACAGAATACTAAAATTAAGGCATAGTAATAAATGAGTAATGACGGCACACTAAATACTTCTACAATCTTTTATCCTAGCCACAATACGCAATCAACATCAAAAGAAGACAAAGCTGCTTTCATTTCTTACCTGCACAGCCGAAAGCCAAATGGTATCGAGAAGAGGGGCTGAATTTAACACAGCACACATTAGCCTTCGCCTCAATGCTTGCCACTGAGTTGTCTAGGTTGGTAGACCATAGCTTCACTAAAAGTAAAGGACAATAAAAATGAGAAGAATTAAACAATGCATTAGCAAATGCTTCTGTAACCCAGAATGTTTGCTTATTGCTACAGTTGCCTTTTCATACTAATCCAAAACATTTTAGTTTAGAGAGGGGTTAAAAAAAAAGCAATATGGAGATATACGTGTATTTGTTTCAGTATTCTTTAAATGGTATTGGGGGGATGGTGCACCTGGCTAGCTCACTCAGAAGAGCATGTGACTCTTGGTCTTGGGGTGGTGAGTTCAAGCCCCACATTAGGCATGGAGCCTACTTAAAAAAAAAAAAAATGGTGTGTATTTTTCTCAAGTATCATGGGTTGGAAGATGAATCATATAGTCATCCCACTGCTACACAAACATGCATGCACAAATACACTTTCATATTTATTACATATCTCAGAATACAAATGCCATTTGTAAAGTACCTGGAAGCAGTTCTTGATTTGTCTTTCAATTAAGAATTCCATGGTTTTAGAATTTTATGCCAGAACTCAAGTTATATGATTTAAGTGTGTCTAAAGTAATGTTATAGAATTACTTAGCTAAACTTTAAATGTTTGTTTCAATATTTGGTATTTGGTCCAGTCCAGGGTATATACTGAGATTTGTAAAGATTAAAGAAAAACTGATCAGAGAAGGTCAGATCTCAGAGCAGAAATAGAAAAGTGAGCTGTTGTTTTTGTAAGGTACCAAAACACAGATTATATCATACATCAAAAATGCCTTCATAGACAAAAGAATACACATATAAAACAGACTTTCAAGGTATTGGTTATACTCCTGGTTACACATCAGAATTAATAACGAACATTAACCATAACAAGAACAAAAATCTTCCTACCCATCTTTTCAATGGGTGTCAATGTCCTGTCACCCAATGTCCTGTCCTGGACAATACCCAGTTGGGGTCCAGGTACTGGTATTTGTTTAAAAGCTTTTTGGGTAATTCCAATGTGCATCTGGGTTGAAAACCAGTATTAAGATGACGGCATAGTAAAATTTAAGAATCTTTTTGGGAATACTATTATGGTGATCTGTAAGTGGGAGTTCAAAAAAAAAAGTAAAAATGGTTCCAACTATTACTTCTATAAAATGGTATTTCCTAAGAATAGATATTTTCTGGGTGAATGGGTTAATTTATCTTTTACAAGTGGAATTCCATAGAAAGTTTCTTTAAATATGTGGATCCCGAATAAAAGTTAACCGTTAAAAAAGTTACTTACAACCTAATCAATCTATTAGTCTCCTAAGAGAAAAATAAGATACTCAATATTAAAATAAAAGAATAAGAGTTTTTAATAGCAATATTTGTCTTGTTTCATGTTATTTTCTAATAGGAACCATGTGTTATTCCAATCAACATACAACTGTCCCAGCAATAAGATATACAATCTGAGAAGAAATGGCTAGCTATAATTAAAAGTCCACATGTCAAATACAGCATTTATAGATTAGAATATCAAGTGGTAGAGCTGTACTCTCAAAAAATAGCAAGCCAAAGTTAATCCACAGCAAATATTTATGGAGCACCTACTATCCCCATAATCCCAATACTAATCAATAAGAACCTTTATAAACAAGGTTTATCCATCAGTATTTTATAACAATTCAATATAAGTAAGCATAGGAATGAACTAGAACAAAACGACAGTTAAATTAGAAGGTCTTTTGTTAATTTCATGCTACTTTTCTCAATGTTAATGTAATCATTAACATTTTAAAAATAAGTCACAATGGTAAGCACTATTGATTATAATTTTCAATATAAAAGATACTAGATTAGATAGAATTCGATATAACTGTCTAAGCTTAAACAATAACCAGAGTTTAAAATAAAGATATACTAAATATTTACAGCATAATAAGAAAAATATATAAAGAATACATTTTATTAAATTATTGACTATTAAACAAAATAGGTGTTGTGAGTTAAACCACATTCCCCAAAAAGCTATGTTGTAGTCTTAATCCCAGGTACATCTGAGTGTCACCTAATTTGTAAATAAGGTCTTTGCAGATGTAGTCAAGTTAAGATGGATGGATTAGGATGACCCTAAATCCAAAGAATGGTTTCTTGATAAAAAGAGGGAGGGCTGGGTAAAGAGGTACAAATTAAAAAGGCTATGTATTGAGAAAGGCAGAAATTAGATGCAATTACAAGTCAAGAAATACCCAGGATTGGTACTAGCCACCAGAACTGGGAAGGCAGCAAAGAAAGGATTCCTCCTTAGAAACTTCAAAGAGAGCATGGCCTCATCAACACCTTGATTCTAAGCTTCTTGCCTCTAGTATGGTGAGAAAATAAATTTCTATTGTGGAAACCAAACAGTTTATGATAATGCTGCTGTGGGATTCCTAGGAAACTACCAGAACAGATATGATGAAATATCCTAAGATGATATCATAGATAAAAGGTAAAATAGTAAAGTGTAGAAGAAATCAACAAAAAGTTTGGAAGAAAATGTCTGAAACAAATATAAATGATATGGTCCTCAAAAGAAGAAGAACATATATAAATCAGTAATAATATGCCTACTGTTAAAGAATGACACTAAAAATTTCATTAAAAATCAATAAATATATAATTTTATATTTAATGTGAAAACCACCTTTTGTTAAGAAAAAGTAAAAGTAAATTCAAACTAAAATACCAACCTCAAGGTGAGGAGCTAATTAAGGCAATTAAACTCATGGCACTTCTGTATACATAGTCTCCTATGAACTTCAGTTAAAAAAAAAAAATAGTTACTGTTAGGAAAACCATGTTGCAATGTAAGAAGCTAAAAATAAAAACAAACTTGTTCTGAATACTAGCTAGCTGGCTTTAGAAAATGAATTTGTTACTTAAGTCCCATTACAAAATACTAAATTTGGGGGGCGCCTGGGTGGATCAATCACCGAAGGTGGACCTTCGGCTTAGGTCATGATCCTGGGATCCTGGAATCCTGGGATCGGGCCCTGTGTCAGGATCCCTTCTCAGCAGGAAGTCTGCTCCTCTCTCTCTCTCTCCTGCTCTCTTTCCCTCTCTCAAATAAATAAATAAAATCTTTTTTTAAAAAATACTAAATTTTTTAAAACCCAACTACTGTAGAAGATGGGTATAGTTTATCATCCATTAATTTGTAAAATCGGAGTTAAACAGTCTCTAAGTTTTTATTCAATTATTATTTTTTCCAAAAATAAAACACACTGAATATCTATAATAACAGCACCAATTACAATATGCAGTATGTATACACTTTAGAGCTTCTCAGACAGGGACCATTGCATGTTTATTTGCACCAAAACATCCTAAAAAGGAAATCATTATTTAAAAAAAATAAAAAAAGAAACACAGGTGTTTGACACCATAAAAAAGCCTGTCTTTAGTTCAATTATGAGTACACTTGATATCTGATACTCTTGGACCCACTTCTAAACTACTGCCTAGATGCTACAGAAAACAGATCGAGTAAAATGGGGTAGGGCTGTTTCACTAGAAACTACAGAAAACCCGAGGGACATACGTACTATCTTATAAATCAATAAAAACAAGTATGAAAGGAAGCCTGGGTGGCTCAGCCAGTTAAGCGTCTGCCTTTGGCTCAGGTCATCATCCCAGGATCCTGGGATGCAGCCCCACGTTGGGCTCAGGGAGTCTGCTCCTCCCTCGGCCTACTGTTCTGCCCCCCTCCTCTTTCATGCTCCTGGTCTCTCTCTCTCCCCCTCTCAAATAAATAAAATCTATTTTAAAAATATGAAAGACAGGGGCGCCTGGGTGGCTCAGTCAGTTAAGCGTCTGCCCTCAGCTCAGGTTGATCTCAGGGTTCTGAAATCCAGTCCCACATCAGGCTCCCTGCCCACCAGGGAGTTGGTCTACTACTCCCTCTGCCTCTCTGCCTGCTGCTCCCTGTGCTTGCCACTCTCTCTCTCTCTCTCTCTCTCTCTCAAATAAATAAATAAATAAAATCTTTAAAATATATGAAAGATAAAGCACGAAGATGTTCACTTTGACAATACTGATTTACCAAGTTTTTCTTTTAAACTCAATCAAATAGAGAAAACAGACCTTGTTGTACTAGTTAGCTGTTGTTGCACAGCAAATTGTTCCAAAACTTACAACTTAAAACAACAAAATTTACTGTCACATGGGTCAGGAAATCTCTGAGCAGCCTAGCTGGACAGTCTTGGCTGAGTCTCAAGGCCCAGAGAGGTTGCCATTCAGCTGAGCTAGAGGATCCACTGCAAACTCACTCAGCATGGCTCTTGGCATGAGGATGCAGTTCCCCACCATTTGAGTTTTTTTTTTTTTTTAAGATTTTATTTATTTATTTGAGAGAGAGCACAAGCAGGGAGAGTGCAGAGGGAGAGAGGGAGAAGCACACACACCCTGCTGAGCAGGGAACCCAACGAAGGGCTCGATCCCAGAACTCTGGGATCATGACCTAAGCCTAAAGCAGACACTTAACTAACTAAGACACCTAAGCGCCCCGTTATTTGGGCTTATGACAATACTGTTAGCTTCTCCACACTGAACCAAATATAAAGAGAGAATGATGAAGACAGAGGCTGCAGTGTTTTATATCAACTATTTTCAGAAGAACATACCTTCAAGTCTATAATATTTTACCAAGCACAAAGACTGGAAAAATGGGGAGGAAAGTATGAGAATACTAGGAGACAGATCACTGGGGCCACCTGGGAGGTCATCTAACATAAGCCTTTTAAATTCATTTGGATATAGGAGATATTACATTTAGTAAAGTTATAACTTATAGGAATGATAACTGACTAAAGTTATAAATTAGAGGAAAGATAACTACTATCTGAATGCTATTTATTATGCTGCAATTCATTTTTTAGTCCTTTGATAAAAAAGAAGTGTTTCATTCAGATCCATTAACTAAAATTAATTTTTTAAACTTGTCAAAATTTCAAATTTATCACTTTGACATTAATGTATGCAGCTATGAAAATCTGGAATGAATAAGAACCTGTAACTA